TTTTTAAACCAGTTTTCAGTATGCTATCTTTGTTAACAGAGTATGAATCATAAAATACATATCTCGTGTATATAAGTTAGTGTACTTTATGGTAACTCTGTAGATTTTGGGGGGTTTTTCTTAAAAGAATTTCATAAATTCTTTTTCCAGAGTTCTACTTTGTGGATATACAGGATGGCATTGCAAATAAAGTGCTGCACATAATCTGAATAGAGCAGAAAATTAAGACGTTACTGTAGAACAGAAAATAAATACATAGTGTTCTTGTAGGAAGTGGTGGATTGAAGAAGCATTGAAAAAAGGGATAGAAAAAGAGATGCAGCCAGGGAACGGGCTAGGTGATTATGGGAAAAGGGGATGAGTGGATTTGGGTAAAGGAATAGGGGAAATGCAGGAGAACTACATTAGCAAGAACTGAGGAGGCTTTGTCAGACAGTGGGGTCTGCAGCCCTTTCTGTGGCCCTTTATCTTGATCTCACAGGGAGTTCTAAGCCCTTTCTGCTCCATGAGTAACAGTCCCCAAGAGCTGGGGAGGAGAAGGGTCCAGGGCAGTTGGGAATAAGCACACCAATTAGAACTAGTGTTTAGCTTTGAGGCTTGGACAACATGTTGAAAACTGAGGAATGATGGAGTGGAAGAAGGTATATTGCTGTAGTCTACTCCTGTTAGAGTCAAGGGAGATTGGTTCAGTTGTCTCGTTTTGTAAAAAAGAGAAAATATTTTTTAAGAGAATAGAGAAATTAGGTAAGCAACGTGTCAAAGGAGACAGATTTGGAGAGGAATAAATAGGAATGGGCAGCAGTGAAGGGAAACAACTCAAGTGGTAGTAGGCAGAAGGTGGGACCTTAACATTAGGGGACATCTGCTAGCCTGGTACTCCATCCACCCTGTTGTCTGTGTTAGGTTCTGTGTGGACCTCCCCTCGGAATGTTTTGGTTGATTCCCTAGCTTTCTGTTGGATGCTCCAGCGTGGGGATATTGCCTGTCTGGGAGACTTGCCATTCAAAGAAAATTGGTGTCTCTCCTTTTGCTTTCCCCACGCTCCACTGGCTTTCTGCCATGTAAGGTGGAATCTGAGAGAGCTGGAAGGTATCAGAAATTAAGCTTTGAAAATGTAGATAATAAACAGTAAGGAGGCATGTCATTCCTTTTTGTGGTGGGGGAGGATGAGTGTGGCAGAATGAGTTAATGCTTCACATGAGGAGAACGTGACAGGTTAGTGATTTAGGAAGGACGCAGGCCTAAATTTGATATACTGTTTGAGCAGTGTGATTTATGTCATCCTCATCGTGCTTTGTTCCTGCTTTGTCATACTTGCGTAGCAACGTATGGAGCCAGACACTGCAAATAAGTTCAAGTATTAATAACATCTGGGTGACATGGGGAATTGCAAAGGCTTGAAAAAAACAGTTTGTTTAAAGATCACGATGGTGCTAATGATGGGATTTTAAAGCCTCTCTTTTCATGATTGAGAGAATTTTGAATTTTTTGAAAGTGGAACAGCTTCACTTGGTGAATGTGAGAAGGATCTCTCAGAATATCCTGCAGCATAGAGAGAAATCAGTCTAATTCCAAAGGGATCGAGAGGTCTGTTTTGGATCTTCTCGAAACTTTTACACACACCAGTGTGTCTTTTACTTCTGCTTGTTACTTTTCAACTGATTTAGGTTTTGTGCTAGTTTTTAATAATGATTTTTGACATAAAACCTAAAAATTCTTTACAAAGGTGATCACTATCACTGAGCACAGTAACTGGGATAATCACTTCCCTACTTGTAAAATCAGTATTTATGCGGACTTCTCTCCTATTTTCCTGACTGTGCAGTTGTTCAACGTTAGTTAAAGTACAGAGGGATAAATTCCTTAGTTACACCCCTTCCTGTGCAGAAAAGAAGTTAAGAGGAAGAATGGAAAAATACTCATCTTCTAAGACTTTGTAAGCAGTGGGCCTAATAAGAAGTATACTGATAAGAACTTATTTTCATTACATTGCCCGGAGAAATTTTAGAGCGACTGTCCTGGTTTCAGCTGGGATAGAGTTAATTTTCTTACTAGCAGCTGGTATAGTGCTGTGTTTTTAATTTAGGATGAGAGTAATGTTGATAACACACTAATATTTTAGTTGTTGCTGAGTGGTCAAGGACTTCTCAGCTTCTCATACTGGCCTGCCAACAAGAAGGTGGGGGGTGCACAAGAAGCTGGGAGGGGACACATCCAGGACAGCTGAGCCCATCTGGCCAAAGGGGTATTCCATACCATACGACGTTATGCTCAGCATATAAACTGGGGGAGTTGGCCGGGGGGGGATAGATCGCTGTGTGGGGACAAGCTGGGCACAGATTACTGGGTGGTGAGCCATTGCATTGTGCATCACTCATTTTGTATGTTCTTCTGCTATGATGATGATGATTTTTTTTTCTCTCTATCGTTGTTGTCCTATAAAACTGTCTTTGTCTCAACCCACAAGTTTTTCTTATTTTTCTGATTCTTCTCTCCGTCCCAGTGGGGGGACAGAGAAGTGAGCAAGCAGCTCATGGTCCTAGCTGCTGACTGGGGTTAAACCATGATACTGACATAGCCTTCAAACGAAAGGCAGTTTACCGTTTGAGTCTAAATGAAATATTGATTTTGATTTTTACTGTATTTCTTTTCAAATATTGCACATTCTCATTTGAATATTCTGAAATTCTTTACATCTGTATGCCCTGATATGTAACTCAGTTACCCCAAGGGCTAACTGTTGTAAGGGGCCTTCACAGTGCCTTTCCTCAGGTATAATACCTGTTTTTACTTAATTATAATAAAAATACATTTACATATTTATCCAAAATTTATTTTTCCTCTTTTTCTGTTGACCTACGTCTAAGCATAACAGGTGACACAGATTTATTGAAAATCCAGATAGATAGCCACTTCCCCATTATCCTCTGTTCATCTCACCAGCTTAAAGAGCTGTAATAGCTTATATATGAAAGTTTTCCCATTTAGAAAATACAGAGGATATCCTTCACTGTGTGTCTGTAGTATGCTGAAGATACAAAAGAGTTCTATGATGGAAGCACTAACAGAAATAGTCAAATAAAGTTTCCTCATTTCAGCCATCATGATAGTTTTATGGATAATTCAAGGATAATTCATTAATACAATGTTTTGTTTAACAGGTTCTGCTTTAGATTTGCATTTTAATGATGTGAACGTCGCATCCATAGATAGAGAATTAGAAGATCAAGAAGGCAGTGACCTTGGATTAGCAAGTAAGAGGTCCAATTTGTCAAATTTTACTCATTTAAAATATCTTTCTTTCTTACCTTTCTAATCTTTTACTCTTCAAAATAGTTACAGGCAGCAAAGACTTTGAAAAAAAAGTCCTCAGTTTTGTTACAGCTGTTTAACTTTGTGGTGTAAAGGGATTGCACTACTATCGTGCTGTCTGTATTTTGCAAGGGATCGGTCTAGTAAATGTTTCGGGTTTTGTTTTTTAATATGCTTAATGACTTGGGCCCATGGGCATAATCATTGATGGAAGGACTTAGACGCATTTACAGGAAGGCATTATGCTTGAGCTGGAGCACCTCATGCTGGGTGCGGCAAAGTCTGGCAGCAGGCAGTGTGTGCTGCGGGGACCAACAAGTACTTCAGTGGTTGGGTGGCTGCTGAGAGGAGGGAGCAGGGACAATTCTTGAGGAGAAGGAGCTAGCAACCTTTAGTACTTTTAATACTCGCAAGTTAGGGACTTTATCTTTCTATGAATCTAACCTGGAAGGAGCAATTTAGTTGAAGGTCTGTTGGGAAGTATTCAGCCATTTGGCCTCTTCTGGGAGAGGAGAGGAAGACATGACAAAGGAGAGCGGTGCAAGGAAGAGACAGCAGAGAGGAAGGATGAAGGGGGAGGAACAGCAAGAAATTAAAATGCCACCTTTACTTTGTGAAAGTAGAAAAGGGAAAATAATCAAGAGGAAAAAAAATTAGAAAAATAGGAAGTGAAAACTGAGGAACTATAATTCCATTATCATATTCCTTTGCGAGTCACAGAGCAAGAGAACAGTCATGGTTTTATAATACTTCCATTTATTTTCTGATATCTGTTTTGCTAGCATTTCTTTGAAGGAGGTCTGTGGTGATTATTAGGTTGGTTGTGCATATGTGTTAAGCTTCCCCTTGTGCAAACTGTGGTTCCTTCAGGAAATATCCACCTGCTCCAATCTGGTCCTGTTCACAGGCTGCAGGGAAATTCCTGCTTGTACCGTAGCCTCTTCCACAGGGTCTCTTCCAAACCTTCCATGGTCTGCAGCGGAATATCAGCTCCAGTTGAATACCTCTGCTCCGGTGACTGGAGCATCTCCTCCCCTTCCTTCTTTCCTGACCTTGCTGTTCACAGGGCTGTTCTTCACACCTTTTGTTCCCCCTTCCTCTGACTGTGTGGCTTTTTTTTTTTTGTCCTTTCTTAAATATGCTCTCTCAGAGGTGCCACCAGTGTGGCTGAAGGACATAGCTGTGTCCTGCAGCAGGTATACTGGGACTGGCCGCGTCTGGCCTGGGGCAGCCCTGGCCTCTCCTGGCCACCCCTGCAGCCCACCACCTGCTACCAAAACTTTGCCCCATAAATTCAAGACATGCGGGCAGATTGTATTTGCCAAAATTCAACTGGATTTGAAGACTACCTTAAGAACCAGAAACGAGATGGTTCTTCTGCTACCATTTCATACGATGTTTGTTTCGGGGCTTTCCTTTGGCTCTTAATTTTAAAGAGAATTCTAACTTGGCCAGATTTTGTAACTAAACTCCCTTGACTTTGTTGCTTCCTTGCTCCTCTTGCCAAGAGCAGTGCACGTTTATTGTCTGGTCTGTTATGTACGCCTGTGATTACAATGTCCGTCGCGTATTTTCCTCCTATAGCTGGTCATGAAGCTGACCTTGGTAACATTTGCTGAGTATTTTAGGATATATTTTTTTGAAGACATTGTGGCAATGCAGCTTATAGTGAACATCCCTGTCTTTTTGTTTTGAAATACTTCTAAAAGGAATGATGTTTTCTCTGATGACATGAATTCACCTGTTTTAAGCAAACCCAGAAAACTAGAATCATGACGCTTGCTTTAAGTATAATCACTTGACTGCTGTATTTTTTTAAAGAAAAGGTGATGTCATTTTTAGTTGCTATTCAAACATACTGATGATTAAAATCTTCACAGTAAATATTGAACTGACCAGAAGAATGCACTGCATCTGTGCATGTTTATTTAAGTAATTGCATGATTGAACATACTTTTTTAATACCTATTTTTAATTATTATCATTATTTTAGGAAATTATGAGCAATGCCTTTATTTGACTAAATTATTAATTTTTACTTTGCTTCAAACTCAGTTTTCATAGAGAGTTAAGTACATTTGACATTTAAAATCTGCTGAACAAAAGCAAAAGCATGTAGAGGAAAGGAATTGAGTTATGTCTGATTATTATGCTGTGTATGATTTTCAAGGTATGTAGCCTCACTTGCTTAACTCTGGTTTATATATTAAAATAAAACCCAAATTTTTCTTAATCCTTTAAGTTTCAGTTTCTCCACTTGCATTAGTTGTTGGTGGTAAAAATGAGTAAGTCGAATAACTTGATCTGAAAAGTGTGTTCTCCTTCTTTGTAGCTGCAGATGAGGCCACTGCTGTGTAAAGCTACAAATCCTGTTTTCAGGCACTTGGAAAACTACTTTCAAGTGTTCAATTTAAAAAATATTTTTGCAATAGGAGATAAATAAAGTTGGGTTTTTTAATGGAAGGTATATGAATATATAATTTAATTTACTTTTGATACATTTTTCAGAAAAATACTTACAGAGAGCTGTGTACTGCTTTGGAACAAATTGTTGTGGTTTTTTTTTTTTTCCTTTTTTCTTCCCTAACACATACACAGGTCAAAGATTACTGGGAAGTTCAGCGCCTGTCAATATTCCAGGTTCTCTTGTTCGTTCCTCATCTTTGCATTCGTCATCATCCCTTTCAACCTCTCCACTCAGTTCTCTTTCACAATCGCTGTCTCAGTCTTTTGTTTCATCGGCTGCTGCTCCTCACCACCAGCAGCCTCAGCCTGTGAAGACAGAACATAGTATGTTAGGCACCTCAGCCTCTTCTCACAACTCTTTAGGTACGTAAATTGAAGGGTGCACTTTGTGTATTTTAAGAGGGAACTCAATGGCAGGTAAGAAATGTTCAGTTCAAGGCTTTCATGTTTGTTATGACATAATCTGGACAACAAAGCCTAGTTGTAATTGATAACACTACTGATAATGGACTTTGTGTAGTATGTAGGGGAAGGGTCAAGGAGTGAACTTCCGTTCCTAGTGATGGGAAAAAAAGAATTTTTGGAAGAGGAGATACTTACAGAGGCGTTTGAAAGGGGTAAAATATAGCAGTTGCCATACAGGCAGCAGGA